GATTGGACGTGGAGGAGCAGTACATTGGGCAACTCGTTCGCCCGACTTAACGCCATTAGATTTCTATGCATGGGGTACTCTGAAGCAAGAAGTTTATTCTTCGCCTATTCAATCAGAGCAACATTTGAGAAATCGTATCGTAGCTGCAGCGAACAGAATATCGCAAGAACAGTGCCTGGCTGCTACAAGAGCCGTGTTTGACAGATGCAATGCTTGTATTGCTGCAAGAGGTGCACATTTCGAACAAAATCTTCATTAAAAAGTTTATAAATAAAATAATTAAAATAATAAATTAAGTATATTTTTTTCTTTTTTCGTGATTTCCTGCGAAACAAAGCAAAAAGGAGCATATGTCTATAGGACTTTTTTTCTTAGTTTTTTACTCCTCTACACGCTCCCGAAGTTTTGCCATTTAATTTGGAAACACCCTGTATATATAGAACACATGGCAAACAGCTGATCGAGTTAAACTCGACTTAGAGACGAAAATTGAATTTTTTATATGTATCATCTGGAGATTCCGATTAAGTATCCGGATAAGATATTTACTTTATTTAAACAAACTTATCAACTAATAATACAAAATTAACCTGTTTTAAATATAATAGGAAATTCTTTATTAATATTTATATCAAATTTGAGCATTTTGCTTGAATCATTAAGATTCTTATTTTAACTAATTTATATCGCCTTTATGCGTTTTTATGAACTTCTTCTATTCTCTCAAATTTGATAATTTTGAGTAAATACCTTTTTTTTAGCTTTTAATAAAATAACTTAAATATTAATTTTCTTTTTTACAGGTACTTGATTTTTCCCTGTGGATCTATCAATGACTCCGGCTCACATGAGTGATTATTAGGACGACTTTTTTAGATTTAACTAATAATATGGTAAGTATATAAAAAATTAAAATAATTAATAACTAAATCGCTTTACGCCTATCCCTCGCCTTTTCTCACGCGGTCTTTACTTTCGCATTTTATTTTCCGCGTGAAGCTCGCTTTTCGCTTTATTCGCCCTTTTCGCCCACGGAGCTCTATCAGAGTCCGTAACGTTTCGGTGATTGAGATTACCCGAAAACGTTTTGTTTTTCGCGTCTTAGAGACGCGAATAAATTCCTTTTAGGAATTTATATGTCGTTATACGACATTTAGGTGTTTTAAACACCCTCTTTGATTTATATCAAAGAATTAATTTCTATTACGGGTTTTTTCCCCTCGTAATAGATTTTTATGACTCTTGAGCTAGAATAGCTCCTAATGAGTCTAATTAAGCGCCACATAAGTTTTTTAATGGATTTTTTCCAAAATATATAAAATTAAAATAAGTAAAAAATGAATTTTTTCCAAAATGCTTTTTATAATGTTTTTAACGTAATTAATTGATTTTTTCAGTTTTTCGTGATTTATTAGTAAGTTTCATGTGGACGCTGTAGAACATATAAAATTAATAATTTTTTTTGTAATGAGCTCGTTTCGGCTCTAAGTTGCTCCTATTGAGCTGAGACTATTTTTAGTCAATTATACTGCATTAAAGCTACCTGAATAAATTAGAATTAATTAAATGAAAATTATTGTTTTTTAGCTATGGCTATTTTTGTTAAAACGAGCTCTTATCGGGCTCTAAGTTTTCTTATTATAATTGTTGGCTTATATTTGCCTCTGAAAGTATATAATTGTTATGATATAAAATAAATTGGGTATCATTGTAATGAAAAAGTTTTTTATTATTAATATATTTTAGTCTTAATACTATCTTATAATCTATTATATCTTAAATTTAATGACATTTGGGGTGAGCTTAATTTTATGGAGGGCTCTTCGTTTTCTCCTCTCCCTGGTTTGGTCCCGTCTGGTCCTTGTTTGTGGCCTGGTGACCGCTGCTCCCCGTGTATTGGTTTCGTTCGGTTTGAGTCTGAACAGATTATTTAATTTTTATCATTATAAAATTGAGGTGATTGGCATCGACCTCAGCGCAGCTGAGTGGCGGTTGCACTGTACGCCCGGGCTATGCGTATGCACAGCCGCCGCTGCACGCCATACATGGCGCGCTTGATGCGGCGG